CCCCCCCCCCCCCCCACAGTCCATCCAGCCCACAGCCAACCTGGACCGGACCGATGATCTGGTATACCTCAATGTCATGGAGCTAGTGCGGGCTGTGCTGGACCTCAAGAATGAGATCTGTCAGCTGCCTCCCGAGGGCTACGTGGTGGTGGTAAAGGTGAGAGCCGTGGACAGGGCAGGTGGAGGCTGCTCATTCTGGCCCTGGGTGGAAGGGGGTGGAGCTGGGCTTCCTCATCTGCCCAGCAGGTGCCTTTCCCAGAAAGACTCCCTTTAGTGCAAAGTGGTTGGCGGGAATTTAGTGCCAGGGAGTCGTGGAGGGCAGGTACCATCCCAGGAGGGCTCTTCCCCAGGGAAACACGGCTTTCTCCAAAAAGCCAGGGGTGATAGTCACCCTACCCCTCTCTCTCGCAGAACGTGGGCCTGACCCTGAGGAAGCTCATTGGGAGTGTGGATGATCTCCTGCCCTCCTTGCCGTCGTCCTCCCGGACAGAGGTGGGTATGCTCCTGAAGCTGAAGACAGTTCATCCGCTGTCACTTCTGCCCTTCACCTTCACCCATCCCCAGCTGCGCTTCACACAGGAGACTCAGAAGGACCACATGGGCAGCCTCGTGTCTGTCTGCCGAGCCTTCCACACGTGACTCTGCACAACAGATCTGAGCGGGACCACAGGGGGACTGAGTGGGCACCCAGGGACCCGACCAGCCTCCTAGGGGGAGTCTCCCCGTTTAAGTCTTAGAGAGTTGCGGTGATTTCGTAATGCACGAGGGTGTGCAAGGGAGGACAGAGCTTCCTTTTCCCTTTTCCCTCCCTGTGACTCTTTATCTAATCAGCTGCCACACTAAGGCTAAGTGTACTAAAGTACTGTGGTACCGTACTTTGCAGGTGTGATTAAGTTAAGGATCTTGAGATGGGGCGATCATGCTGCATTATCCAAGTGGGTGCAATGAGGCACAAGGGTCCTTGTAAGAGGGTGTCGGAAGCAGACATCCTATAAGAGTCAGAGAAGGAGGTGGGATGACAGAAGCAGAGGTTGGGATAATGTCACTGCTGGAAGGATCCAGAAGCCAAGGAAGGCAGCAGCCTCTAGAAGCTGGAAAAGGCAGGGAACAGATTCTCTCCCCTAGAGCCTGTAGAAGGAGCATGGCCCGGCTGTCCCCTTGACTTTAGCCCCATAGGACCCATTCCAGCCTTCTGACCTCCGGGAGTGGAAGAGACTAATCTGTGTTGTTTTGAGCCACCACCGCCCCCCCTCCCCGCCCCGGTCATGGGTTGTTACCGCAGCTGTGGGAGACGCTGAACATAGTTGGACGCTGAACACTAGCGCCTCTGCACGTGTGTTGGTTGTCTGCCTGGAAACCAGCCATGGAGCTCAGCACAACCCCATGCCCCCCACCAGGCTGTGAGCCAACAACACAGCACAGGGACGGCCGCCTCACACCGCTGTCCCCACAGCCTGTGACTGTTGGAGACAAGACGATGCGGGAGGGCTCGGGCATTTCCCAGCCTCCCTCTGGGTGGCAGCAACAGCCCATAGAGGAGCCCCAGCTGGAGCTGTCCCTTCGGATGTGAGAGGTCCTTACCCTCCACATGAAGGCTCCGTCATTCATTTCACTTGGTAAATATCTCGAGGGCCGAGTATGTGCTCAGCAGTGTGCTAGGCACTGGGATATGGTGGTCAACCAAACCCTACAGCTCAAGCCATGGTCCCTGGTCTCTTGATTTGAAGGTAGACAGCTAACACATGAATGAGCTCACTTGTCCCCTGACCGTTCACTCTGACCTTGGGCCAGCACGAGGGATGCAGCCGTGAAGGGGACAGTCTGTGGGGCTGCGTCAGACTGAGCTAGCATGGGGTGGGCTGGGGTGGGCTGGGGTCTGCGGCGTCTGCAATGTGTGTCCTTGCTGACCTGGCTCCAGCCCACATGGGACCTTAGGCTCAGTCCAGGCTTGGATCAGACCTGTCCTCCGGAGAACTTCCGCCTGCCTCGGCCAACACCAAAGGGGATACTTGCACGGCTTCCCCAATTCTCCAGGCTTAAACTTTGCAGCCCCTCAGGCTCCCAGCCTCTCCTGTGTGCTGTTCTTACAGATCGAAGGGACCCAGAAACTGCTCAACAAGGACCTAGCGGAGCTCATCAATAAGATGCGCCTGGCCCAGCAAAATGCCGTGACCTCCCTGAGTGAGGAGTGCAAGCGGCAGATGCTCACAGCCTCCCACACCCTGGCGGTGGACGCCAAGAACCTGCTCGATGCCGTAGACCAGGCCAAAGTTCTGGCCAATCTGGCCCACCCACCTGCAGAGTGATGGAGGGTGGGCGCCACCTGCCTGCGTCTTCTGCCCCTGCCTGTAGTGTTCCCTCCCCTGCCCCCCCCCCCACCGGCCCCTGCTTTGCCTTCGGTCATGTGGGTCTTCTCAGGGGGAAGGCTGCGGGGAGTCCTTCTTCCCTTGCCACTTTGCACGACCCCCTCTCCCCACCCCAACCCCCGGACTGTGCTGCTCAGGCTGCAGCTGGACAGAGGGGACTCAGGGCTATAGATGCCAGGGGGTGACCAAGAGGGCTCAGAGGGAGCCCTGCTGCTGCTGGCCGCTCCCTCCTCACACCTGCCTGCCCCACGGCGGGGGGGG